AAATACGCGTATGCTATTAAATATAGCTACATACATACATATCTGCATACATATATATATGTGCATATATAAATATGCGCCTATTTAACGGCATTATTAATTGCTAAACTCAACTATTTAATGCAAAATACCGGTATATACATAAGTGCAAATAATCAGAAATTATTAGGTGTTGCTTGTAATTTTATTTCTTGTTGTTACTGTTGTTTTTGTGCAACAATTAAACATACCCACATACATTTTCTAGTTGTACATATACATATATATGTACGTATGTACGCATGTACACATGATGCAAGTGCATAGAATTTCAAGTGGCGTATCTCGAGCTGACATAATGAGCCAACGGGTGAATTGGGTGTCACTTCACGGCAGAGCTCTGCTAAACATTTGCATGCTGACATATTTATAAACTCAAACTATCAAACTTATATACATATGTACTCGTACATACAATATGTGAATGCACTTGATAAATATATTAAAGTAACTCAAAACTTACACAAATCGACCACACTGGTTCTCGGCTCACTACAGCTAGGTGTGTGTATATGTGGAATCCAGTGTAACCCGGTAGCCAACAAATGGCACGAGTTTCGAAAGTGACTAGTCTCAGTGAACTTCCAAAAAGCTGAAGTGATTTTTCGGCCGAGCTCCTCCTCCAATTTGTGGTTTTACGTCTTGATGTATTTCCAGCAAATGGAGGTACCTACAGTTTGTACTACGCCGCCTCCGAACGAGAAGCCTTTATTCCATGTCCGAAATACACTCGGATAGGTGAGTAATTCAAGCCCTTCATCGATATAGTGATTCTATATTATCTCTGAACTTGGTACATTCGCAAAGCTTATCGACTTTGCTTATTATTGTTGTTGTTATATCCGCAAAAATATTACCCATTGTAGGGAAAATTCTTGAACGCCTATCCCACAAAGCAACTGATAGTTCTATCTAAACTTGTGCTGAACAAAGGAACATGACACCAAAAGCTCCTTCAGAATCAGATTGGACCTCTATGGATCGTTCGATACTAAACTTGGTATCAGAGAAGATCTCTCGCTTTCTACCAAGAGTTCTACTTTCTCCGGATTGGATAAGGAAGCGACTGAGATGGATATATCGGCTGCTTTCAAACAAACATTCGAACTTGGAAATTTTTCTATCTACGAATCAGCGTAAACATCAGTTATAGGAAATTCAATCCACAGTCTCTCTTGCCAACGGGTACTACTTTGAAATGAGGGGGCAGTCAAAAAGGCGTCTCCTTTCTAAACAAACAAATATCAAACTTAAGAAGTTCCCCATCATTCAGGTCCTACTTTTTAATGCAGAAATTTGCACCCATTAATCTCGCCTCGCCGGGTTCGACAATGGCAAGGGTTTGACTGTGGCTCAGAGCTTCATTCATCGAGGAAGCATTACAGAACCTTGTTGAACCTATGTTTGTGGACTTATCGCCGGATCTTTTTGATTGTAGAATCCTGACAATGCTGAGCACTCTGTGACTGGTATTAGACCTTGGTTCTCTAAGTTCCTACAAACTGTTTTTTGGATTACAGATCGTAACTTAATTACTTTTATCAACACGGCTCTCTTGTGAGTATGCGTTCTTCACCACTTCTAAATTCGAGTGTTAGTGGAGATTCTCCAGAGATGGATATCGAGACCAGATCCAGAAAATGTGTTGAACAGCTGCTACCGTGGAATAGCCAAGTTGCTGTTTCATCTAGCTCGGTTAAGAGGGCTTCCAGCTCAATCCATCAATATATATAGCGGATGATTAGGCTGGTTACTTGTGAAGTAGTCTTAAAGCTGTTTTTCCCCCACCTGGTATACAAAGAAAGACTGCTTTTATTTACAACACATATTCTATGCTGTAGTTCTTGGCGCTGCCTGCCAATGAGCACGAGCGGGCGGGAGAGTTATATAATAACACAGCTCTATTACAAAAACCCCAAACACCCGTCACAAGCTGAACACACTTCACATTCCCGCAATTACGAGCTCCATTTGTGGGCAGTCAAATTGAATTTTCGCGGCACCAGCAGCAGCAGTGACTTAACCGCTCGATGATCGGTCACTCAGTGGTCAATTCGTTACGCAGCAACAAAAGAATGTTGCAGACTTGCTGTAACCACCAACACCGCTGAGTGCTGTGCTGGTGTGCTCCAACAATAGGCCGAACTGTCGCGCGGTGCGGTCAGAACGGCACATTCGTTCGGCAACACCTCTGTCGCCATCTCCGCCAGCAGTGCGGTTGGTTGGTGTGTTAGTTCTTTGTGGCGGCTGCCTGCTATCACTGCTACTTTGGCGAGTATGTTGTCATACATATCTAATTGAAATTGGCTAAAGGCAGTTTACCACACGCCAGTAAGCGGTAAGCGGCACCAAACCACTGACAATAACCGCCAACCACAGCGAGTAGGTGGCAACAGTTGCGCGCGCGTGTGTGTGTGTGGCTTGGTGGCCACAATTGTGTTGGAGCACAGCAATAATGTGGTTGAGTGGATTTTCTGGGACTGCTGACAAGTTTGGTGTCGTATATCTGTTATTATTGTTGTTGTTGTTGCCGTTAGCCTTGATCAATGTGCAGTACGGAAAAATATACACGTTCCATTGTGGTCGGCCGCTATCAGCAACTGGCAACAATTTGCGCGAGAAAAAAAATATTTTTTTTTAATTTTAAATTTATTTATTATAATTTTTTCCCCTTTTTTGTTCACCAATGTAGGGGTGTTGGTAACGATGACGGTGCCGTCTGACGCATGCATTGATTCTTATGGCGGCTATTGGCTTACATATACACACATGCATTTGTATGCATATGCATTTTGAAAGCTCATACGAAGGGACATACATACATAAATGTATGTGTACTGTGTGCCTAGAGTCTCCCTCCGGCCCTTCCTCTCCCTCTCCCAGCGTCCATTTATTGGTCTAGTCTCGGAATCTTTGACTTTTGTAGATACACGTCAATTTCCCGTGTGAACGTGTGAATGTATGTGTGTATTTGCCATAACTGTAGCTAGTGTTTGTACAAGTGAATGTGTAAAGCTTTTATATTTTTTATTAAACAATATATTTATTTTTTGATTTTTATTTTTGATTTTTTTTTTTTGATTTTTTTACTCTTTTGATTTAGCGTTGACTTACGGCAATTTTCCGCTTGACTTCTTTAAAAAATATAAAATATAAAGATTTCTTTTCCATGCACATTTCGTGACATAAAATCTGTCATAGAGTCAGCCCTTTTTTGGTATGTTTGCGGGTGTTTCATGTCACCTATGCGAGGTCTCGTTGCAATTGCTTACTCGGCAAGGAGGTTGCAAAAAAGTTCACAATTTGCTTGAATTTTGACGAAAAAGAAAAGAAAAAAAACAAGATGAGCAAGCTCTTGCACCCTTTCCTACTCAAAATTGAAAACTTACCTCCAAAATAGAGCGTCTTCAAACGCGACCACTAGAAAAATTATGGACCAATTTGTGCAGCGAGCTTAACCTTCGTTCGGCTAAAATAATTCTCGTAGCTCAGACCTCAGTATGAAAGCTAATAAAATACAAGTGGTTCAAAAATGGAAACTTCAAGACCCCTGCGGGTTAGTGGTTCAAGAATTTAACCGAGCTAAGGCATGCCTCTCATAAGAGGTAACTAAAATGCTAAAGTTCCCGTAAGAGTCAAGTCTTTATAACGGCGCGACAAGGATTTTTAACAGTTGAAAGACTGTCACTTCCCCAAAATTCCCAAAAAAACACTTTTGAGTACTTTTACGATTACAAAAACAGCAACAATCATACGATTCCACTTGGCTCAATGAGCAGATGATGAGCGTTTTTACCCAAAAAACATCTTTTCCTGTAGCTAAGTTAACAAGCAAAAGTACCTCATTTGATTAAACTAAGGAAAAGTCAATGCATTCACAATGAGCAACTATTTCGTGCGTCGTAGCGACCGGCAGTATCCTTGGTCCGCTTTACTTTAAAACGAGGAAGAAGCTTTCCCAACGACCCCGTTTAAGAACAGGGAAACTAATCTAAATCATCGAAGTAATCTGACGTGATTAACAGGAAACGAGCTATTTCGAAAAGCGCATAATTTAATGAAACGTTGAACTATTTTTTGGGTAGAACCGTTAACACCATTCAATTTCTGGTTTGAAAAATTAAATTGATGTCGCCCAGTCATGTGGGTCGACCGAAAGTGTCCAGCTAACCGCTGTAGCCAATTGAATGAAGTTATTTTCTATCATTAACCGGAAATATTTGAAGAAAGGTAAAATTTTTGGAAAATATTTAACTGCCTTTTTTACTAAAAAAATATAAGCTGTAAACTTTTCCTGACTCAGCCGTTATTTGAAAGATCGAGCGAAGCACCTTTGAATTCGAAATATCTCACACACAAACTTGTCCAACTGATTATTCCACTTCTGAAAAACAGCGTACCTTCCTCTGACAGCCAAATGGATTTCTCGCCTTTAAAATAATAACTCTCTCTATATGACTACTTCCGCTAGTTCTTCAATTTTTAATTCCTCATAAAATAAAATTCCGTTCAGAAACTTCTACATATGTATTATCCCGGGCACCTTAAATAAGTTAAAAATCCAGCGAAGTTTCATCAGCAGCCACGTCATTAGTATGCAAGTAAATGCGTGCTTATGCACGTAGGTATGTAGATATGTATGTATGTCTGCTTTCAAGTTCTCACGTTATCAACGTTAGCTACTTGTCCACACCTCAAACGCTATTAAATAGTAAAATGCTCTAAGATTACAACAACAGTGCAAAACTTTGCAAATCAACAGTTGTCACACACGTGCATGCATATATGCATACACACGTATATGAATGTAAGTACAGCCTCCCGCCCTTGCTAGTATATTGCCTTCCGTCAATAACGGTAATTATTCATTTTAGTAAGATACTTTCACTTTTTACCGTATCAACTCAACTCAACTCAACTCAGCGCAACTATCAATATTCGCATTTAATTAAATATTAATGACGTGTGTGTGTGTGTTTTTTATTTAAAATATGACATTTTAATTATTCAATATGATTTGTTTCGCTCGATGTTCTATATAAAAAATTCATACAATCAATGCATATTATTTAAATATTCATTCGCTAAAATATTTAAAAATATTAATGTATGTACAAACATGCAATATACATACATATGTATGTGAATTTAAATTCAATTTCATTGCTTTTAACATTTTCAACTAGTTAAAATCACAAAGAAGCGAATTTAAGATTCGCATAATTATTTAAATATATATATATATATGTATATTTTGTTTAAATTCAATTTAATTTATTATGAGTAACGTGTTAAAATGCAGTCAGCATTTCGCTTTATCGTTTGTAAGCAAATTGCACACAACTACAAAAATGAAATATAATATTACAATATAAAAATTTATAAATTATGAGTTAGGACATATTTTTCAAATTGAAAGAATTATAATTAATTTTAATAAATTTTTAAACATTGTAAAAAAAAAATAATATACTAAGATAAAAACGATTTGTTTCAATTAGTTGTGTAGTTTGTAAATTGTGGTTGTTGTTATCTTTATAAATATGTAACAAGACTCCAAGCGTAATATTCAACTAAACACGTCGTTTAAAATCCCAACGCGAAACAAAAGTGTACCTTATCCTCCGCTCCCCACTTTTCCCACTCTCCTTTTGTTTTTTTTTCCAATTTTCCGTTAAACCACATAAGGTATGTAACTGATTAGTGTTATTTCAATTTTTTAAATTCATCCATTTCAGCCGTTTGCTCCTGATCTCCGATCTCACTGTCTGTGCTGCTCACAGTTTGCTGTGGATCCTCATTGTCTTCACTAGTTCTTGTATATATTTGAGCGAAACGTTCTTGCAACTTAGTCAATTCATCATCTTCGGCAGCGTGTAAAGTCGGAAAATTGTTAATAATTTCCCCTGAAGCCGCATTTCTCACGTTCTCATGCTCTTCTTCTAACGCCGTTGCTGTTGCTGCAACGTCAGTGTCATCGCCGATATATTCATCTCTTATTACATTAGATGCATCGCCTGCGCCAATTTCCGGTTGACGACACTGAGCAACAGGTGTATCGGAGAGTGCAAAAGGTGTTGTTGCTTTTACAGGTGTATCGATTGGTTCAGTCAATTGAATGCGTGGTGTTGCTGCTGCAGATAATAATGGCATTGGCGCCACGGGTTCTAGTGAATGGAAAAATAATATATATATTTACATACATATATCTTAAAAAACAGAAAGAACTGATTCACTAAGATAATTTTTACCATCATTTTCCGATTCGACATCCGTTGGTGTCGATGACGATGAGTTGGAGTCGCGCTTTTGTAGTGAAAAGTTCTGCTCCGGCAGGCGTGGCGCAATTGGCCGTGCTTTACGCGCAGGATTCAATGCATTACAAAATGCGCAACGAAATGTTGTAAAATCAAAGTCTTCTTTAAGGGCCATTCCTAAGGAATTTGAAGGGTGAATATTAAGATTTCAGAGCTTTGGAACCGCAAGTGAGGATAACATAGTAGGGGTATTCTCTACATATAGGAAATTCAACATTCCTTGCATGATTGTGATAAATTCAATTCATGGATACGAAAACCGCTCATTCAGTACATCCCACGATGAATTTCCTAGACTAAGAGAGTACCCCTAACTAAACAATAACGCTTGAGCTGCTCGTATAACACTAATGTAATGTAGATTCCTTCAAAATTTTGAATACTTTGAATATCTACCCATAAACTACTCTCCAATACTAACCGTTGTGAGAAAAACACTCCTTGCATATCATAGCAAATCTGTCCTTTGGACCATCCCCAATAAGTACATCGACAATACGTTCTAAAACGCCTTTTCCCTGCTGATTGACTATTGGAAAAGGTGTACGTTTACGTAATTCTTGACCAATACCTGTACCGCCGATTGGCCGTCTTTGCGGTGTTATTGGTAACGTTGGGCGTGGTATGAGCGCTTGTCCGCCAGCTGTGGGCGCAGCAGCAACGGGTGAACCACGTAAGCTGGAAAGTTGGCGTGGGGTAGTGGTAAGTGAAGTGGTACTCAAAGTTGAGCGCAATCTAAGATCTTGTAGACTGCTTGTGGTTGTAGGTGCATTTGGCGATTGACCGATAGCGAGGCGTTGCGAAGTCGCTGCTAGGTTACTAGAGGAAGGCGCACGCGGTGTCAAAGCTAAAAAGTTTTAAAAATGTTAATTTAAATCAAATTAAAAAATCTCTGAGAATAATTCAAACTAATTTACCTCCATAAAGTGGCTTTTGAGCACTGCTTTTGTCGCCATATCGGGCCAGGAGTTTTACAGCAACCTGTATTACAATAAAAATTGTTAGTCGTTATAAGTAATATGATAATGTGATAATTTTTCTTTTCACATTCACTTTCACATTCTCTTTACATCCGCCGCACTCACCTTGTATGTCTCCTTGTCCATGACCTGCTCTAATATTTTCTTTTTTTCTGCATGTAATGCTGTCAGTTTATTAGAGTTTTTGTTCAACTTTCTCTCAAAGTACCACGTAAATAAACGTCGCAGGAGTATTATACTACAACAATAATAAGAAATATATACTTAAAATTAATAAATACACATGAATAGTAATTGTTCACTGAAGCTTAACAACACCCACAAGACCGGCTCACAATGATCACTCTGTGGCACTTGTCTACTTACACAAATGGGAACAACAGTAATGGCACTGAGTAAACAATCCGCTCTCGCCATGTCGGCGGAAAATACACAAAATAAAAGACAATAAATGCGATCACATAAATGCCAATTGATGTTGCTAGAAAATTGCCGACAATGCGTCGCTTTTGCTCCTGTGTATTTTTTGTATATTTTTCTATCTGAGTGATTTTCTCCTCCAGTCCCTCGAGCACTTCTGCGGTGGACTTTTCTTTCTATAAATAGATGTGTGCACACATAAAACATAAAGAAGACACACTGAATAACAGACATGTGTACGCAAGATTTGTGTTTGGTATATGAATAAATTTGTATTTCAATTGCGGGGCCAACGAAGGTCGCCTGCATACAAATATGGCACCTTACCCTGAACTTGGCTAATATAGCGCCCATCTTATTGCGCTGCGTTGAGTTGCTCCAATTTTATTCTTTATATACTATAATCCAATATCTTATAAAATTCCAACTCTTCTCCGTCTGGGTTTTAATGACTCTTCTTTCGTTACTTTTACCACTGACAAAGCTTAGATTACAGTCATCGTTTGTTTTTAGGCGTTGATGTGAAACCTGAGTCACATTCCATTTGAGTACTATCGCCAATTTTTCGAAATCAAATTTTTGTATAGTTGTGAGTGCCGCTACTGCTGATAATTGTAGAATTATTTAATGTTTGTGAATGCTGATGACGATAATGATGGCGCTTTTGGCAGCTTCCGTGGCTTCTGCTAGAGATTACGTGCGTTTTTCGGTAGCCGGGCAGAATACAGTTTTTACACAGCTACAAAACGACAAACAAATAAAACAACAACTGCGATTAAGTCAAAAAATGCGAAAGCAAAAATGCCAATGCAGCACTTCTGGCGTTTCTTGGCCCCCTCAGTTGTTTTGGAGCAAACGTAAGCGTTGGAGTGATGCCAGATGATTGAAACAAATCGAAATAACAGCTGGCTAGCATCCTCTATTGCTTCAGTAGATTATTCTTCTATTTCTTAATTAATTTCAAATTAATAATTATCAATTGTTATACTAATAAGAAGATATACCAATCTACTTGACTGAATTAATGAAAGGGAAGTAATAAATATTTTAGCTCAGCCATAGTTTTTTAAAGATTATTTATGGCAGCCCTTGGGTATGTTCAGTGAATCTGTGCGTGCGAAACATTAAACATGCACAGCTTTTGTAAAATAAATTTACGCATTTGTTACGTATTTTTATAAAAACTTTCCTAAAAAAAATTAATTTTTTCAATGCTTGCATCAGAACAAATTTTTTAGGGTTTATATTCGAAAATTAGCAGAGATGGAAAACCGTAGTCGTTTCCGGACAATAATTTGAATGATGTATGTTTTACTTTTTAATTAATTAATTTGTACCCCAATAGTATGTTACGTACATAGATACAAATTTTTTGAACTAATTTTTATTAAAAAATGTACGGCTAACAATTGTATAAAATATTTATTGAAACAATAGTTTTGTTCGCTACACTTCACGTTGACATACAATAATTTAGTGATACGTATTTTATGGGAAGTGCTCCGCAAGTGTTGCTCTTTATCCTAGTTAGCCTTTTCATTGTATTTTATCTCCGCAATCGATGTGCTTTCCGCGATTGGCTGTTAGTTGCATTTTTACATGTTCCTACAATCATCACGAGATAGAAATTCAGCCTTTTCAGTAATTTCCAAGATACCTGCTTGAAAACAAGAGATTGAGCTTGAAGCTACCTTGGTTATTCATAGTGTATCGCAATCACCTTAAAATATGCCTGTTGTTAGTATGTGCGGCCATAGCTGCGATCGAAGATGCTGCCTTATCAGTAACTTAGCACCGTGGGTACTGTTTACTCTTTCTCTCTCTTTTGGTCTTCATAGCTATGTAGAAATTACATGTTTTAATTAGGTACTATGTGCTTCTATTAGCGCAGCTTATCAGTTTCAACATTTGTCCACTTTATTATAAGTGTACTTATTTGAATATATAGAGACATACATATATGCAATCTCATGTATAAATGTATTGGTATCCATCTCAAAGTGGCCGGCAGCTAACAGCACTTGAGGTGTTAAATTGAGTAATGACTGTTGGTGCTGACTTTTTGACTTCAAATTACGTCTTGTTATCGCTTAGCTCTTAGAAATGATTTGTTTACGTCAGGGCAGGTGCGTAATGGCACCCCCCAAAAAGCAGTTGTGGGCATTAAATGTATTCTCTGCGTTGATAGTGGATTTTTAAATGTACTATTGCAATTAAATACATACTTGTGTATTTATGACCACGCAATAAAACGACATTATCATCCCAAAAGTGCCTGATATGTTTATATGCCACATTTTGATGAGCTTGTGTCACATTGTGGTTTAAGTGGTTTTGTTTATCTTATCAGCGGATGCATGGCAAACACCCTGTAAATTATCACCAAAACAAAAAGAAAAAACACTTTATATAAACAAGACAAACCAACATTTCTTACCGCTCAATATTTACACACTTAAACCTGTGCAACGCTTTCTAATACAATACGCTTCGAGCTCCGAGTTAGTTGCTTTCAAATCTTCCATTGTACAAGTACAAGCGCTGGAAACTGCGGCTGAATTAGCGTGAATCCTCTTTAATTACGATTTATAAATTAATAATTTTTTACAATGGCATCTGCACTGGTGACTGAGGAACTTCTTTATGAGGAAAAACCACTCTATGTGCCACCACTGCAAGAAATAAAAGGAAGTGAGTATAAAAAAAATGCTGGTCAACACGATTGCAAGTGTGCAAGTTTGTTTTTTGTGCGTCAAGAACACTTGTTTTTGTGTTTTTTTTTTTCTCTGCCGACACAAGCGGTGACATTCAAGTGATAGGAGGTGTCTGATTGGAATTTACCTTTCTAATACACATTCCAGTTGAAGAGCATCAATTGCAAATGCTTTATTTGGTTTGTGTATTAGCTAAAGCAACGATGTCAATGATAAGATAGTGCGACACAGGGTGTACCAAAAATATATTTTTACTTTTACTAACTTAACGATCTTTTTATTAAAACACAAATATGTTTGGTGAATTTTTTTGAAAAACTTAAATTAAAAATTTAGCAACCTGAGAAAAATTAAACAGTAAATATAATAATACATAATTCACGGCTTATGACAGCTGAGATATGCGGCCGAGCTTAAAAATGAAAATTAATTCTTTCTTTACATACAAATTGCTTATTTTTTACCATTTTAAATTTATTTTTATCATATTTAACAGTTATCCATGACGCTCTGTCTAAAAACTTTGAAAACGTGAGCGTAGAAGTAGGTGATTGTCCTAATTTGAAAGATCCTTTTTATGGTCTAGAGGGTTCAGGTGAGTTTTTTTTTGTTTTAGTAAGTACTTACAAATGTATATATGTATGTATGAAATCTCTTTCGATTTTTTTTACTCATACTCCTTTTCACATACATATGTGCGTAGGTTTGGGTGGCTCTCCCTTGCTCCTCGAAGTAGGTGGCCCACCCTTCCTGCTGCCCCTCGTGCAACGCTCCAAGGTGTACAATGTGAAAGAAATCATACAAAAGGCGCTGCCTGGCGAAGGTAAAATTTTGGCTATTGGTGCCGGCGCTGGTCCCTTTCCGCTGCGCAATTCCAATTGCGAAGGCATCTTCAATATGGCCATCGACGAGCAAGGTACGCTGAAAAATGGTAGCTACACTGCCAAAGTGCACGGTGCTGAGGAATTGTGTGTGTTGGAACGCATTCCCGACACAGATCCACGTTGTGCATTATTGTTGAATATATACATTAGCCGAGGCGCGCCTGGACCGGTGGTGAAGGTGAAGTGCAGCAAACGTATTGGTGAGCTGAACTTCGTCGAGTGCATACGCAAGGGCTTGGAAGCGCACTACAAAGAGCAGTGTGTGGGTATGGGTGGTATTTTCGTGCTAAAGAAGGGTGCGGCACATCAGCACGTTATGCGCGATTTCAGCAAAACGCCACTTCACACGGAAGAAGAGTTAAATGATTGGCTGAAATTCTACGAAATGCCAGCTCAGCTGAATGCTGTGGGCACACTTATTACACACGAAAATGTGAGTTATAAAACCTGTGTATACATACATACTCGTACATACATACATAAAAAGTAAAGATCTTTACAATAATAACTCCGCTTTATTCCATAGGACTTGGATTTACGTCTACAGCACTTCCACTCCTTCTCCAAGTCAAATTGGGGTGGTCACTATCACTATGACACAACGCCCGATGTTGCAGAGTACGAGGCCTACTTGAATGTGGCTGAGCGTGTTGTTCGTGTGGATCGTCCATTGGAGACACACAAAGTGGGTCGTGATTAGAGGCTTGATACTACTCTTCTTTGAGGCAAACGTTTATTTTTTGTATTTGCTTAAAATAAGTTAATTTGTTATGAATTTATGTGTGAAATTGAATTTTGTTGAATAATATAAGATGTTTACCGCTATAATAGAGTTTTTTCCAAAATTTGTTATGAGTCCTCTAATCCATAAGGGATGCTATTACAAGCTCTCTACGTGTCGTCTGCATCAAGTTCGAAAATGTTAAAGGAAAAGTTAGTACGAAGAGAGCTGCTTCACAGAACTTACTGAGAACGCCTCTGTGCCCGCCCACCCCCAACCGAAATTATCATTAATAGCCATCAATACCACAAATCAATCATGTGATCGGTGACGCCTGCACGGTAAGGTTGACAAATTGACGCTACAAGTAACTCGCCGTCAGGTTTCAAAAGGGCTTCTGCTTACGACTGCGATTGCCACCTAAGTACAAAGACTTAAATACCTGTCGGAACACAGCCGTAACAGAAAACCTCTTAATGTCTAAGGGAAACCGAAGCATCTCACCAAACAGACGAAGAGCAAGAGTTGACTCGCCAAATCCAACTATTACTGGCACAATTAAGTTGTAAATTCGCAGTACACTTAACTCTTACACATCCAGACTTGACCCCGACATACTTTACGTACATACATATGTGGTCTGTTCCGCACGATACTAGTCACCTCTTTGCGTGCCCACTAAAATCTCCTCTTTTAACACCCCTCTCACTTTGGTCCGAAGGCGCCGAAACAGCTCGTTTTCTATACTTTCGTTCACCGAACTCGACTGCATAGACTAATGTGTGTGCTCCTAGGTGGAGTTGCACAGCAATAGCTTTGATTGAAGTCGTTGCAGATTTGCTGATAGAAGTGAAGAAAGGTTGAGAAGAACAGGTGAAAAGCGACGATACTTGAACGACGATTATGAAGAGGACGGGAGGTAGTCACCTCCGAACGGCTTAAGGATAGAGAGCTTCTCATGGAGAGTTTCTCATTTCCAGTTGGAAATACACTCCGCGGGTCGATCGGATTAAAAAAAAGTTATTCTATAATATTCTATAATACTTGGACCGGCTGTCTTACGGTTCTAATTCTAAAAAAAGACCATACTTTCGCTTCTATGACATAGGAATGTATGTATGTAGGTACTTTCACTTCGTTAGGCCCGTAAGTACAAATATACATATATAATGAGGCTCTACATATACATATTTAGTTTACCATTCTTACCGTTATCGACAAAATAGTTCTAACGTTAAAATTTTAATATAGCTTCCGTCGAAATTCTTCAGCTGCTTTATATGGGTGACTTTTATTTTTGTCTTTGATCTTCATATGTATTTTCATTGAAAATTTCATTATTTACTTTATTGTTTTTATTTCGCTGTTTATTCATTCTTATCGCATAAGCACAAATACAAATATGTGCATATGCATATCAAAATGCTTATACATATATATCTAAATACACGTTCTAATAACAATTTTTACTGTTACATATTAAGCACAGCTGCATAAAATCGTTAAAACCCAGCTGAATGAAATGATTACCGTTGTTAGTGTCGTTCATACAATGAAATCATTTCATATAAACGTTCGCTGCCAACGACACACATACACACACACACACACACGCATAATAACTTAGTATTTTGTTGATATACTTATACTCGTATTTACATACATCCAAAAGCATTTATTTGTTTCCGTTTCCTACACCCCCAAGAGCATGCTAAAATCATAAACACCCACTATACCGCCATTATTACAATTATACACATAGCAAAATGCTCTTATATACCTACCAACATACCAATGTATGCGAGTATATGCTCTCACATGTATGAATGGAAGCTCCAAAACCTCATTTGGGTGTGGTTCTACTAGTCACTCATCACTGCTGCGCATTGCTTGCAACATTATATACATGCTCAAATGGCAAGCAGACATTTTGAATTTGGCGCTCTTCCCCATTTTGCCATATAAATATGTTCTCCGCTCTATGAAACGGCATAAAGTCATAGCAACCACCAATCAGCAACGACTGCGCGTGGGCGCATTGAGAGCTGCGCGCTGAAACAACGGAGAAATGGGCTTATACACATATGCATGCATACATGTACATATCTACATATGAATTGCGGTATATTGTATTTCAGTAGCAGCGCTTGCATGTAAATTAGTAAATAAATAAATATAATGGAGTATTTGTTGTATGTTGAGGGTAATGAAAAAAATGAAGGAGGGGGAGAGTGTGTGCGTGTGTGTGAGGGAGTTGAGAATAAATGGCGGCTGTGCGTGTTTGTGCTTATTTATATCCATTATGCAGCGGCTATAACGTTTAAAAGACACATCCTGAGAAGCGTAATAATTGTATGGAATAATGTTGCCACCGATGAACAATCTTGACTCTCTCCATTTCCACCTCCACCTCCTGCCTCCTGCCTCCTCTACTGTCTCCTGCTGTGCTAGGGCGCTGCGCTGCTCGGCTACTTTCACTGTCTTATCGAAATGGACACGTATTTGCAGAAATCTTCTGTTTTATATAAATACATATGTATGCACAGATGTATGTATTTATATCTGCATATATTAAATATGTGATAAGTTTTCAAAATACTTAAATTTATGTGTATTAATATGAAACTTTAAATGGTTATAATCATAAATCATATGCTCAATGCAATAATGAAACTTGCCCAGAGACATCATGGCATACATAAATATGTGTGACCTACTAATTACATGTGTATGCATGTATGTACATTTATAAAATATCATTCAAATGCCTCCATCTGTAAGTTTCGGTACTGAGTTGTACTTTAGTACAAGGACAATGTGACTCTTCGTCACCCGACTTCTTTAGGTTAGTTAAAGAGAAAATAATATGTGTTGTTGTGTTAGCTAGGTTTGGTTGGGCGTGTTTTAAAGATAAAGATTTTACTTAAGATTTATGCTCCTATTGGATATGTGGCGTCCAAGTGCCAAGCTTAAGGTTAGGCCATCCAATTGTTGTTGGTGTTGTTGTAACCACAAAAATATTCCCCAAAGTACTTTTTGAGGAATGTTGCGGGAGTGACAGTCCTTGCCGGGATAAAAATCTGGGTTGTTCCGGTATAAAGATCCGACTGTCTCGGGAACGATTGGATTTAAGTCGCTTCTTACGACAGGCATGCCTCACCGCGGGTAAATTCTTGAACCCCCAACCCGCTGGGCGGTAGGCCATCTAGTTCGAATGAGCGCTTTAGAGTAGAGAGACCTTCACTTCACAGGAAACTTATTGGATTTGCTTTTATCTGTTTTGCTTTATTTGGTTATTTTAGGTTTTAATTTCTGTTTCTTCTTCAAATCTTCTTCTGCTTTTACTGATACCTCTATTTACACTTCTACAACTACTTCTACTTCTGCTTCTTCTTCTGCTTCTGCTTCTGCTTCACTTCTACTTATCTTCCGATACACCGTCCATTCGCGGTATCTTTCTTCAATTCGGATTGTGACAAGATATTCGTCCACTGGCGTGAGTAGTAGTACTTTCCATGGCAGAGCAACTCTTCTACGTCAGCTTCAAGTCCACATTTCCGCTCCTTTATATGGCAGCTACAGCAAATCCATCCATTATCCAACGGAGTTTGAGTGATCTACCTTTTCCTTTGCATCCACCGGCGAGCACTGTATCAAATACTTCGAAATTACGGACCAGAGATTGACCCATTCGAAATGGTTCGATTTACTTGAAATTACTTTTTTTGGCACAAGAAAATATACAAATATGTATATAAATCATCCAAAATTTACCGAAATGATATACTCTTGTTTCTAGCAAGTAGGCCCCAAAGATCTGGAAGCAAATTCAATTCTTTAGATTCCTCACTGTCGGCTGAAAATCTCAATCCACGTAATTTCTTTTTCAATTGGAAATAAAGGGAAGTCACTGGGTGCCAGGTCCGTGTTGTAAAACCTGTAGCTTTTAAGACATACCTCGCAATCGGAGTGGTGTGAGCGGGTGCGTTGGCTTGAAGAAACAGCATTTCGCGTGCTAACTTTCCAAGTCTCTCATGGACGTCTGTCTCATGCGCCTCACCGAACAAATTAGCCTAATACTGATCCCTTTGACATGTAGTTCCATTTTCGCTTTCACAGAAAATGGCTGCCATAATAATCGACGCCAAACGATTTTTCCTATTCTTTTCTAAGAGCCAGGGCTTCTTTCGAGCTTTACATCCTTTTAAACCAGCTTCCAGAAGTCTTCTTCTAGCTGTTCGAGCACTAACTGGTTTACTAAATTCATCCGAAAGGACAGCTGCAAGCGCAAAAGAAGATTTTTTGCCATCCTTGAGAGACTCGCATATAAGTATTCGGTCTTCTCGTTTACTGGTTAGACGCTTCCTTCGATTTTTTGATTTATTATTGGAGGATTTCAGCTCCACAAATCGCCTGATAGCACAATGGAAAGCGCACCGCGAACATCCCACCAAATTGGCAAACTCAACCTGAGACTTACCTTCTTCACTTAGAATTTGCATTCTAACTCGAAAATATTTTATGAATTTCTTAAAAATGACAAGTTTTAGGTTAAGCTTACCCTTGAGTGGTATGACTTTTAATATTACACAATTTATTCGTTCAATCAACAGTTAAACACCCACACAGTAAGACATTTACAAACAGCAGTGGTAACTTTGATAGCCACATTTGAGAATACACTTGTATTTTAGTGGGTTGCCTAATACTTTTGGCCAAGACTGTAGATACATATATACTCGTATAAATACCTACTAAAAGTGCAAATTAACAAAATTTCATTTCCCTCATCGACATCGGCGTGCCTAAATAATTACATACAACAACACCTACTCGCCTAAACACACATATGTATGTATATCTGTGCATAAAAAGAGTTTTCCAATAGGGATGATATGATTTCCAAGTGTCGTTTAGCCATTTTTAATATGTCATGATTTGTTGTTGTTTTTTTTCATTTTTCATTGTATTCAGCAATGTTTACAATATCATAATGAAAAGATATACGCAATAATAATGTTTAAACACAACAACAACATCAACTTGAAAACAATAACGATTTTTTTTTATAGGAAAATCATCGTCTCCGCTGCGGCAAATGAACAAAACCG